TTTCGATACCTTAACCTTCTCCTAGGCTCCATTGGCCGTGGGAAGAAGCACAAAGAAGCCGACGGAAGAAGGAGGTGTCTTCCTCTCGGCGCTGCAATCGGCATGCAGGTGGCGCCTGCCGTCTCATTTCGGATATAGAGGGCGTGTGTTTCCTTCTCGCTGTCGCTAACCTCATGCAATCCCGTGTTTTCTCGCTTGTTTTGAGAAAAAACTTACCTTTCCGAAGGCTGTGTACCTCATTAACGGAAGACAGAAGAAGAAGTAAGGAGCTGGGTTCGATATGCTGGCCGTCGTAATCGGAATCTTGCCGGAATCCGCTTGTCCCACCATTACTGCCTACCGGTACTATCCCGCCAAATTCCGGACAAAAGAGAATAGGAAGAAGAAGAAGAAGACGGTAAATATCACTAATTCGTCCTCCTATCCTCGTATCTTCACTCCGGATACACGATCACACATCAAGCACTCATCACAGTTCACACTAAACATATCGGAGACCGGGGAATCGCGACTTTTGAACGCCCGTCTATGGCGCCTCGCGTCGTTTCTCGCCATTGCTCGGTTCGGCTTTTCTCGCGTCGATATCTCTGTCAAGAATCACCGTACCGACTCGAATCATATCACATTTCACGTCCTAACACGTCCGCCTCGCGCGAGGGCAAACCCCGACTCCCGTCTGGATGGGTTTTGGAGGATGAAGTTTGTTGAAGTATATGATTTTATTCGCTTATATGTATACATATATGTATAAGGGTCGGACGCTAAAAATAATCTAAACAATATGTCTTCGTTTGTTACTGATCGGGAAAATTTTAGAGGATTTTTGCTTCTTATTCTCTTTAAATCTTTATGTCGGGCTTCCTAAGTTTCTTCAGAAAACTGCAAAATTGGAAGCAGTGCCTGTTGTATTATTTTATGTCCCATACGTTAATAATTTAAGCACAGAAATCGGCATATAGTACCAACCACAATATTGCACATAATGCTTTGTTGCGCCTTGAGTATATTGACGAAATTTGTCGATACTTATTTTATAGGGAGAAGAAAATTTTTTTTTTTTTATTATCATTTTCCTAATGCTTCTCTGCAATTTGGCGGAGGAGACATTTGGCAGATTGTTGTAGCGGTTGTGATTTAATATCACGTGAATGGTCATCTCCATTGAGATGCCGCTACAGTCAATAAGTATGTAGTCATTTATAGGTCTATACATGGTGTTCGGGAGGTTTCGCCCTTTCCGTTTGAAAGGGTTAGAAATCCGTCTCCAAAAGATTTCCGGTTTTCCTCGAAGCCTACCCCTCGCGAACGCGCATGTAAAGGTGTAAATGATAAGATTTAGTTTGTCAAATGCTTACTAAAGTCTTACCGAGAGATTTTATTTTCAACGACGCACAGGTGTTCGTATTCGCGTAACAGAAGCACCAGAGTTCGTAATTAACGCAAGACGAGTAGAAAGTGATAACCGCAAGATATGTAGCGAGACTACCGTATGATTGGTAACAAAGAATAACTACCGTAAGGCGTGTAAAGGATTGACGAATGCGCAGTAAAACTGCGAAAGTTGCGCAGAATATTCTAAGAATATAAGAATAAATTATTTATTTTTACGAATAAAGAATATTCTAGAACATAAGAGTGTCGATCCCGCGTATCAGAAATGTGTTGTGTCTTGTACTTCGAACAAGCAATATGTTCGAGAGTGGTGGCGCTATGCTGTCGCTGGTTCGATGATGTTGGTTTGATGGATGGGGTGATGTTGGTGAAGATAAATAGTGTCACACGTATTTCAATATTATATTTCAGAATAAATTACTTGGTGATATAATCAATGTCTTAGTGTGGTGTGCGTGTGAATGTTGATCTTTATACAAATGTTAATAATCATCCCGTTTGAGGGTGTTGTGTCGCTATTTATATGAAAAGTGGATGTGTGGGAGGTGATGGTGTGCGCCAATTAGAGCGTGACTACCCTTCGGACAGTCCTCCAGGACCCGTTAGCATACCGCCCATCCTGGAAGTCCCAGTTGGCAGGGTGGTGGTACGTCGCGTTGGCGGGGGCATGAGGTCCAAGGGTAGCTCGCTCGTAATGGGACTTGAGCGGTCGGGGTGACGGGGAAGGTTTTATGGCACGGCACTAGTTATCGGATGGTCACAAGTGGGCACCAGGAAGACATGTGGCGCGCAGAAACTTTATGCTGCTACCGCCATAAATGCTTCCTGGACCTCGCTGGCAGATTAAAAGATTTAGTTGGCTGAAGGCAAAAAAAGGAAAGGTGTGCATTCAAAATCGTATGAAAGAACGGCCGTGCCATAAACCCAATCCCTAACAAAATGTTTAGGATGTTTAAGAATATTCTAGAATATAAGAGAGTCGATCCCGTATATAAGAAATGTTTAGGAAGTCTAAGAATACTCCGATGTATAAAAGGTTTAAGCTGCTTATACTACCTGGAATATTAATTAAGAGGTACGGTTGAAAGCTTCGCGGAATTTTAATTAGTAAAGGGTTAGAGAAATAACGGTTGTAACACCCGGAAATGGGAGGTTGCTGGGGTGTCTCTGAACAACTTTTTCCTTTACCAAAATGTTGGTTAAGCTTCATTTTTGAATTATTAACGAAAAACATTGGCCAATCAGAGCGCGCGTAGAGCCCGCGCCCAGGCACGAGAGCGCAGAGACTTACCCGCGCGCGATCGTGAACAAACGTATTGGCACAGCGAGGGTATCGAGGGAAGCGTGCGGCAAATGTTACATCGTCTTAAATTAAGAATAATCTGGAATTATTCGTTATTCATGAATAACAAATAAACTAATAAGTCGTTTAACACGTTGAATGCCGGACCAATTCTACGTAACTTGTCCACGGTGCCGGAAAGAATTTTTTATTCTAATACAACACGTTGCAATACGCATAAATAATATGTCAGTAGTTAGAAATAAAACTATTTAAATATGCTGTGTGATGCATTAGGTGAAAATTTTACAAATTACATAGATTATACTTGGAGAGACATTTATAATAAAGAAATTAGAAATTAGCGCTTTTACTTGGTAAATACACGAGAGCAAAGGATAAATTTTCATGGCAATGAAAGCGCAAAATGTTCAAAAGATGGTGGTGTGGAAACTTTCTATCGGCAGATATGTATGTTTTGTTTAAGAAGGATGTGTGTCAGTAATGATCCGGGTCCCTCTTGTTTTCTTTTTGTCCTTTTTTTTCATTTGTTTCTCGCTGGATGAAGGCAGAATAGAGGTAGAACGACGGTAACTGTCGTACAAGCATCGAGAGTTTGTTTGTTTTTTAAGCTTACATACCAGCTTCCTCTTATTTTGGCCGTGCTGGTTTCAGTGCCACACCTGAGTATATATTATTTCCCTTGCAAACAGCTTGGTCCTGCTATCCCGGGACGAATCGCGGTACACCGTTCAAATAATCTGCCGTTTGCCGCGTTTTCTCATTAGTGCGTCAGAATGTCAGTTTGCACGGGTCCCGTTTAAAATTTGGCAACGTACGAAGAATCGGCACGTAGACGATCAATCACGCGTTCACGATACGAGATGAGTAGAGCCCTTGACGAAGATGTGCGTCGTCGCATTCTTGGCATTTGATCGTGGAACCAAGGTGTAAATCGCTATTAACGACACGTACGTTTACTGAAATCACACATTCAAGTAAGTCGTGCTAACCTATAATTAATATTTGTAAAAATGCCGGTTGAAATATTCTCAGAAGTTATAGAGAGACAATGGGAAGAAATAGTGATTTTTATGCAGCAATAGTGTTACAAGGTCTATACATTTATAATATGTTGTTCTGCAAATTTTACAATTTCATTCTTGTTTTTTTATACAAAGAAACATTTACATTTCATGTCTTTTAATATTGCCCTAATGCTACAAAAAGTACACGACTGTACATAATTTACATTAGATTTCCATAAGAAAGAAAAGAAAAACTAATATTTCAGAAATGTCTAAGTAACACCTTCATATTGTATCTGTGATTTTCTTTATCTGATCTTGTTCCAGTCCTTTTTTTAAAGCCAGGAGTTGTCTCTCAAAATAATGAACCAGTCTTGAAAATATTTTGCCACAATGTCAATACCAAATCTTTTATGTATATGTGGAAAAGTTTACCCGTAAGAAATAACAGTTTGATATTGATACGCATAGATGCATTTCTGAAATATTACATTAGCACGTACTTTCTATGAAATTGTAGATACACTTAAGTACAAATACAGAAAACTATGATCTTTGTAATGGGAAAACTCCTCCAGAAGTATTGGAAAAGCACGAGAATCAGAGATATTGGCGTTTTAATTTATTTGGTACAAACAAGAGTAACAAGTTCAAAATTAATCCATTTGAAGAAGTTTGCATCGGTATATATGCATATCCGTCGAATTTACATAAACACTCAATGAGCATAACAGAAACACGTGAGTGCAATAAAAATATGAAATATTTGATGGTGTGAATGCACAATAGTAAAAGTGCATCGTGCTCTTGTACAAATAGGTATCGATGTTTACTCATTAATATTAATGATTATGGGCACCATCATCTATTGGAACGCTCCTAAATTAAGTGAAAGTCGAATTTTTTATTATTTCTGTGGAACATCTATAGTATATTATCTTACAAAATTATTGCGATGGGTAAATGATATTTTTATGTACTACACTTTTTCGTCGTTTCGTTGACATGTGCAACGCGACGTAGCAATTATATTTTGGTGAATGTGCGCAATGTACACAATTCAAGGGTAAAATAATGTACCGGATGGTCGCCACTAGTTGGACAATGAGTGTTTATATTATTCAAGCATTGTGGGCCCATGCACATATAATTACAGTAGAGTATAGAGAATGGATCACATTGTATATTCTACTTACATCTTTCATCAGTTTCATAATTTGTTATTGGTTTGGCACAATTACAAATGCTAGAACGAAAAAAGTTATCCAATGGTTTCTGCAGGTCTGTAGACTAATACTACTAACTACTACTAAAGCTCATAACAATTGCTCCATTATTCTCGTTTAATGCTTTTTTTTCTCGTTTATTTAGATAGGAGCGCTGTTTGCCATGTATCACAGCAGTTACTTCCGCGAAGTATCAATTTTTTCTTGTATTGTTATTATTCTTCTTTATAATTTTCCCATTGTTGCAATTCGAAAAGTGCGAAGTTATTGGTAAGTGAAGTTCATCGTCTATTGGTAAGTGAAGTTCATCTTTATAATACCATGCAGCAGCGTCACCAGCATTTAGTATAATCCTTTTATACAACAAGTACTGCCGACAAACCTAAAGTGCAGCCTCTGACGTCACACAGGGCCTAAAAGTGGGAGATGTAGGGGAAAGTGCGACGGCTCGCTGTTAGTAAGGCAATAGAGATAGAATAAGTCTATCGCAGTTACTCTTATGTCTTCCCTTATAGTCAGCCAATAGGGATAGAATAAGTCTATCGCACTTACTTTTCTATGAACAATAGATGACGATCGGATTTCGTTCGAGCAGTCGGTAAACAGATGAGCAGTCGATAATTGACCGGAATGATATTTTCAAGCACTCGAAAAAAAATTAAGTTCACGTCGCGCAGACACCATAAACAGGCGAACAGATGCCTGCGCGACGCCAAACGACGTGCATCCTGGTAAACTTTATTTTTTTATCCCATGTTCCCAAAATTTGTCTATTATTTCGATAAGTTTATTTTACAGGTTAAAATTCAAGCAATCCAATGGCATTTTTTCAAAATTATTCTATGACTGGGAACAGTGTCAAATTAGCAATTAAAACTTTAGCAGCGATTATTGTTATGAAATGAGCCCAAGGTCGAAATATTATCTTTAAACAAAGCCGAAATATTACGGTTAAAGTGACGACATGTCGTCTGATTTTGTCAAATTTTTCAAAATTTTAACATTAAATAGTGGCTGTTTGATGGCTTTTATTGGCTGTAAAAAGTGGCTGTCGGTCTGTGGTGGCACGCTGTTTTTCATTGCAGCCAGAAAGTTTTTAGCTCCTTAAGCAATTTTTTAATGCGCCGAAATCTACTTTTATTATTCAGAAATAGGAAAAAAATATTTACATTTTAGTTTTCTAACTGTTAAAAAATATTAATACATTTCCTGAGGTTTCCTTTACAATAACAATTTATTGTGTATGAGTCGCTTAGAAATTAACGTCTGCGCTATTAAATATGTCTTATGCGCCAACGTATGTAAGAGGACAAGGCGACCAAATAATTTTTAGTTTTCCGTTCTTTTATCAGCGTGTTACATTATCGACAGCTGACTTCCCCTCAAGCGCCTGCAGTGTAAGACCCAAGAGTAGTGAGGATGATCTGAACCGCCTATTTTGCCTCCATTTTGCTAGGCTGTGACGTCAGAGACTTCACATTAGGTTTGTCGGACTATACGTGTATACAGGGTGTCCTGTAACTCCTCGAACACCCGGGAATGGGGGGTTGCTGGGGTGACTCTGAACAACTTTTTCCTTTACCAAAATGTTGTTTGAAGCTTCATTTTTGAATTATTAACGAAAAACACTGTCCAATCAAAGTGCGCGTAGAGCCCGCGCTCAGGGACGGAGAACAGTTACCTCTTCCGTAGAAGACAGATCTTTTATTTCTTCTTTCTCAATCTCATTATTATGAGAAAAAAACTTGTTAACGTAATTTTCCATAATCGTGATTGCCTTTTTCGAACACGTTTTCACACCTCAAGTTTTAATAAATAAATTGTAAATAAAATTCGTACGCACTTACATCGAAAACATTTAAATCTGTTATTTGGACACAAACATCTAACGGCTAGTAATGTTTTTTTTTTTGCAATTTTAAAGTAATTATTTCAAATTTAATGTTTACATATTATTAAGTGCAGCTTTGAAATTAAATCTATCTTGAGCGAAAGATTTTTAAGATTCACATAAAGTTCAGTGAAATTCTTAATACTGTTACGGGTTACGCTTGTTGTGTCCTCACACGGAGCGTAATATTGGTTTGGGTTTTGTGGATCGGTCAGAACGTTCACCGTATGAGGGTGATACGTGGATGACAACAAATCCGAGAGGATTGGAACCTTCGGCGTATGTGGTTAATATGCCGTTCTCCGAAGGATGGATAGGTTGGAGGTTCCACGTGTATGGTTAACACGTCGTTGACAAGGTTTGTGGTGGACCGGTCAGAACATTCAACGTATGTGGTTAATACAATACGTCGTTCTCCAACAAGTCCGATAGGATTGGAACCTTCGGCGTATGTGGTAAATACGCCGTTCTCCGAAGGATGGAAAAGGTTTGGTGGTTGTGAGGACAGTACGTATCGTAATGTCGGATATACCTCGACCGGTAAAGATATATCCTTTGTGAGTTTAACTGTTTCATTACTAATGCTACAAGGAGATGGTCAATTGAATATAGGCTGAAGCAATTCTATAGTAACTATATTCTAATAATATTCAAGGAGTTTACAATAAGTTTACAATGGTTTAAAGATAAATTATAATGGTTGATTCTTGGCTGAGCAAGAATCTTCCTTCTCGACTTACGACGGCGAGTACGCGGAGACGTCGTAGACAAGTATGTCTAGTTGACACTTACGAGTTTAGTATTATGCTTGGTTGCTTGAAAGGGAATTGAGCCCGATCTTGCTCGTGTCAAGCGGCGACTATACGAATACTGCTCTACGTTAAAGTTCAGGGTAACTCTGAACTGTGACTGCCCCAGAGCATCGGAAATCATGCCCTTATATACCCAAAAATCTGTATTTTTTGGGTGGTGGGGGCCCTAATTTTCCCATGAGAACGAAACGCGTTCGTTTACTTTATCTCAAGGGGGTGAGCCCTGGGCGGATGTCTCGACGCCGCCGTGTCGGCTAGTCTGCGTACGTAACATCTCCCCCCTTAGAGGGAACATCGTTTATTACGATGCTTCTGCAATTTTAAGCCGACACGAGGGGCGTCGAGTTTACAATTATAAAAAAAAAAAATATATATGTATAAGAGTATGTGGCGAAGTATAAATGTAGTGTAAAGAAAAAAATGTGTAATAAAAAAATTAATATATAAAAGTGTATGACTAAAGGAAAGAGCTTAGGTTTACAAGGGGTGTCCGTCTGGTCGGCTGAGTTGTCCATGTGGTCGTTGCCCCACTCAGACGTACCAAATGGTTGGCCGGTGGAAGGTCATCCTCTGATTAGCGCCGTACCTGATGGCGTCTATAGTGCGTTAGCCTTCTGGCAAGGCGCAGGGTGCATTCCTCGCACTCGCGTGCGCTCCGGATGATGTTAATTGTTGCTCCGCAGTTATCGCAAGGGGCGGTCGCCGGGGTCCGGGTTGGCTCGTATCTGTCGTGTCTGTCCGGGTGCTCCAGGTCCTTGGCGCAGGTCATGCACAGGGTGCGCTCGTCCGTGCCAAAGATCGTGAATCTGGTGCACCCGTTTGCGTCCAGTATCTCCTGGAATTCCCGGTCTTGCGTCGCGGACTGGCGTAGTGTTGGACGTTTGGGGGCTGCTCTGGTTGCGGTAGCCGCTGTAGCAGCGCCTCCCTGCAGTCCTCGCAGTCCGTGGCTCTGCGGTTCATAGCCACTGTTTCTCCGCATTGGCTGCATTTGAGGGTTGACTCCCAACGGGTCGGGTGGTGCTCGTTGAACTCCTCGCCTGTCGTCGGAGTACTTTTTGCGTATTTTGCGCAAATGATTTCGTCGTCCATGCTGGTGTAGAACGTTCTTGTTGTGCAGAACGTTGTTGCCAGCATTGTGCGGAAATGCTGGAGGCGCGTTACGCTTTTGGAGGCTTGTTTTCTCAGGAGGCACATCTTGGCGATTGATATCTAGGTGGTCCTCGCTTGTGCCTTATATACCCAAAAAATCTATCCTGCATCCCCTCCAGTCCTTTGGCGTTTTAGTGATTGGTCGGGCATCCACCCCCGTATGTTGCTATCTGTGATGAACGCCAGGAGGAGGCCATTCTCCCAGATATATTCTGGGACTCCCTCGTCCTGGTCCCCGGTGGATGTTGCCGCATTGGGCCTGCGAGGTCGCGGTGTCTGCGTCCATTTCCCCGGTACGTAGGTCCCTTGGAAAGGGGTAAAATTCACCTTGTGGTGTATCAAGGTTCCTCGTCTTATTTCTTGAATCCAATGACCCTTTTCGCCTGGTTGGACTGCGATGGTTCGGTGTCCTTCGTTGCATTCTGTCTGCGTACTTTCGGAAGGCATTGCGAGAAACTGTGAGAAATTTTTTGTATTCTGGGTTCTTATATTCTTTGAGGTGGAAAGTGTTTAAAATTTTTCGTATCTGCACTTTTCGATCTCCTTTGCACCGTGTTTGAGGTTGGTACATTTTGTCATCAGATGAACTCAGGATATCGTAACGCTCCAGGTGCTGCGGCTCCAGTTCGAATTCAACGTCCTTTTCCTGTGTATTGGTGGCCAATACATGGCAGGTACCGTTATGGTTGCACACGGCGGCTTCGCCGATGTAGACCTTATCCGGTGTTTTTATGAGGGGTAAATAGCCTTCCTTTACCTCCGGGTTTGCAACCCTCAGCACGATTTGCTGTCTAGTCCTCGCTGGGATGCAATGTGTGGTGTTGAAGTCGGACTGATTGCTAAAAAAGATGGGTTTCGTTGGTCGATCCCGAGTTCCCAAGGTTTTATGGTAATATGAGATCTCGGCTTCTTCTTGCACCAAAAATGGGCTGCCAATAATTCCGCTTACTGGTAGTGGAAAATCTTTGATTACGTAGAATTGGCGGATGTACCATTAATATGTAGTGTTGTGGTGCCCAACGTGTGTACGGTTGCAGGTGCGATGCTGGTGATTTCTATTCGTTCTTCTGATGTAATTTCTGCGAATTCGTTTAATATGTCGAGGTTTACCAAGTTGGTCGCCGATCCAGTGATGATTAGAAATTCGCCTTCGCCTGTTTCCAGTTCCGGTGCTTTGATCCTAATTCGTGCCGTTGGTGATTCATTGATGGTCTCCCGCGTTTCTCGTCGCCGAAGCGAACCATCCGGCGATTTTTGGGGTGATCGCTCGTCATATCGCCGGTATGACGAACGCTGTTGGAGTTTAAAGACCCGGTCGGGCTGTTGCGTATAATCCTGTTGTTAGTCTTTCTTTCGTTTCCCCTGCAAGTATTTCCGTCATGTCCCCGTATGCCATATTTCCAACAATAAATCTTGGTCTGA